TGCCTCTCTTGCTTGTCAAATGAAACTACTCTGACTCTTCCCCCCCCCCCAGGTCGAAGGTGATCAGGGTGTTGCCTAGGGAGCAACCACGCCACGCCACCTTGATCTCCGTCATGCAAGAAGACTCGAGTTGTGGGAGGAGCTTTGTATAGACTACATCCACCTCTCGCAAGGATGACACGGGGAGCGTGATCCTCTCGTCACAGATGGCCCGTTCAATCATGCGTTGCTTGGTGGCCCAAACTGCTGCGGGCGGCAACTCCATGATGCAGGGAGGAGTGTGCGTAATGAAGCTGCTGGCAGCCAGGTATACGCCCATCTCACGGTGTAGCAGCTTCCACCCCTGTTGGTTCGTGGGTTTCGGGTTTCAGAGGGAGGCCACATGCTTACAGGAAGTTCTGAGTCTCCTCCTTCAGGCTGGCGTAAGTCTGGAGCCGCTGGTTGTTCTTCTCCACATTGCGCTGTCCCCGCACCTGGGTCTGGGCAATGAGCGGCAAGAAACACCAGATGTTGTACAACTCCTTCAAGGTGTATTCATAACCCAACGCCCCAAGTAGAACCGGCAAAGTCCATGTAGAGACATCCCGTCTCCAGTGCCAGTCCCCATCATCATCACTGGGGGCCCAGAAGAGACCTACCACCTTGTCAATGCGTCGCTTGCAAGCAATGTGGCCCTCGATCTCCTGCTTGGTGTACTCCACCAGGTCGCCCCAACGGGTTTGCAGGTTGTGAGGGTGTGCGCGACGTTCCAGTGCCCAGTGGTGGCAACCGTCTTGGAGGCCCAGTCTGGGAATACCATGGGCCCCGGTGCCACCGTCCATTGGCCTCCATAGGCTTGAACCCCGCCTTTGTGGTAGCCCAACATCGCATGGATCATTGCAAGCTTCGCCTCGCCAGACCCCGGCTCCAACTCAGTGACAATCTCCTTGGTGAGGGGGTCGATGGAAGTAGGTCCAGACGCGGAGGAACCCCCCATATCAGGGCGTGAAGCACCTGTGGAGGGCACCTCCGGGTACTCCATGAACGTCGTGTTGAGGAGGCAGTCAGGGATCTCCTCCAAGAGTCGCGGGTTGAAGGGGTTGGTGCCCTGCTTGATGAGCTCCCGGGTGCGAAGGTAGGCCTCCGTCACCTCTTGGCGTTGCTCGCCATCCACCGCCATCGATCCACGCTCCGGTTCGAAGAGACCACTCTCCAGAGCCTTCCTGACCTTGTCCGGCCACACACTGATTCCATCATAGGTGGGAAGGAGGAGCTCCAGCTTACGCTTCTGCTTCCGGTAGAATGCCTGGGTCGCCTCCTCCAGCGTAGTTTGGGATAAGAGGAGTGCGTCTTGGGGTTGCCCTTTTTCATCCTGCCACTTGCGCTGGAGGAAAATCTGAACTTCTCAATGTCCAGGCGTCGGAGAACGGCTGCTCCATCCGCTTCCGAGTCAGGCACCATGTGGAACCACGCCTGAAGTTCATAGACCACATCCATCTGGGGGTCCACTCGCGCCTCCTTTCTCTCACGGCGTTCGGCCTGCCGAAGGTCCGAGATCAAGCGCATAGCCTTCACGTTGGAGGGATGGAAGGTGATGGTCTCCTGGCCCGGGTCATCATCAGTGGCTCGTTGCGGTTTGCGCTCCACCGCCTCCTTGTGGAAGACCTCATCATCCCCCCTCTGCATCACTTCCTGACGAAGGGTAAGGCGACTCGAGTCACTCACCAGTTCACTGAAGGTGACCTCCGCGGGAGTAGCACCCGCAGCTGGGGGCTTTTGTCCAAGACTGCTAACTTCCACCGAGCAAAGAGACTTCTGAGAGTAACCCTGTTCCCAAGGGGTCGGACTGCCAACGGAGCTGCTTGTCCGCATCAGAGGTCATAGTCCATGTGACGCCATCCACTGTCACCGAGGCTGAGGGCAGTGCCGTTGGTAACCTTCCCCTTCGTAGAACCACAGTGAAGGCACTTCGGCGACCTGTGGAGGACCCAGCTTGCGAAACAGTTGGCGCACATGTAGGGCTGTTGGGATTCCACCGCTGGGAGGGTCGTCAGCTTCTCCATGGAGAGAGCGCCACGCTTAGCCTCCCAAATCTCCTGCGCAAGGCGCTTGGCCTTGGCAATGGCATAGACCTCAACCATGCGAGCAAAGGCTGCCGGGGTGAGCTTCGTCACGTCAAACTGGAGGCAAAGCTCAATGATATCACCCACTTGGATGCTTTGCAATGGTTGCGCCAGTTGCTTTGGGAGGCAGGGAAGACCAGCCATGACATTGGTCAGAAGGATGTTCCCGTCCTCGGCAAGGGAGTAGGTCACAGGATCCTGAAGGCGTCCTTCAACTGGAACCTGGGTCTCCAAGGTCGTCCGTAAAGTCAAGGAAGGAGCTGGTGCAGGCTGCTGACCACACAGCGACAGGGCCCCTGCTGCTTGAACTGAGGAGAGCGGTGCATCCTTACGAGGCTCAGTATCAGGGCATGAAGCACCTGCCGAGGCTCCAGAATGACCACTCCCAACCAAGGCACCGGGTACAGAGGACTCCGCAGACGGAATCCCAGTATCAGGGCCCGAGGCACCTGCCAGGGCTCCCACTTTGTCACTCTGATCCAAGAGACGTTTCCGGCTACTCGGTGCAGTCGATGCCGACCTTGCATCCACGGAAGATGCCGGTGGGGAGAAGCCGAGGTAGAGCTCACCAAGCCGCTCGGAGGTGCCAAGGCCGCCGTTGCAGGAGCGTCCGAACATGCCAATGGAGGGGTCGACGATGTAGGTGCCACTGCCAGTGGGGATACAACCACCGCCGTCCCAGTGGTAGCCTGGAGCGAGAGGGTGTTGACGCCACTCACCATCGCCTCCAGATCCTTTGCCAGATCCTCAGGGGTCTTGGCCGGGGGATCACGTAGTCTGCCAAAATGGCCATCTCATCTTGATCGGCATCAAGCTGTGCTGAGTCTGCGGCTGCGACCTCCTGCTCCATAGGATCCAAGTCCAGATCCATGAAGTCCTCAGCTGAGTCCAAAAGTTCGAAGTCGAAAAACGTGTCAGCCATTGCGGCGAGAGTCAGAAAAGATCAAGTGGGATACAGCCACAGAAATTTCGCAAAAGTTCGATCTTTGATGGATCAGGCCTGATCCTTGAGCCAAAATGGCAGGCCATTTTGGCTAATGAAATGTATTGTGGACACATTGTTTGCAATCCCCAAACTCCATGCAAAACCAAAATATATATATATATATAGTTACAAAAACACATACCGACCGCCTATGCAAACCATGGCCCTATGCAAACCAGAGGCTACTCTGTTCGCACAATATGCTGGCGGTGGAAGAGCGACAATCTCAACCCCCGCTCTAGCAGGCTCAAGCCTATCACATGGCCACTGGTAAGCTCTGGAATGGGCTCTGGCCTTGTCTGAGTTGCTCTTGTCACACGCAGAAGTTGCAATGTGAATATATCAACGAGAGCAAGGTCACTGCAAAACTACACGACCCTTGAAATCGGGAGCTACCTGCGCAGCACCAATTGTTTGTACACTCGTGCTGCTGTGATCGTTTCTTTGTCATTCACAGACTGGAGAAAGAATGGTATGACTCGTGCCTGAAAAGCATCGTGCAACTCCCGAAGGTGAGATGCCTGTCAACTCAACTGGCAGGTTCACCAGCTTGCTTCCTTTTGGTCCCATTGGCCTCTGACTCATAGTCCAGCTCAGTTGCAAACTGCTGCCTCACCTCAATAACTCCAAACCAAGGATAAGCTGCCACAAAAAGAAATGCTCATGGCTCATGCCTGCTGTAGAATGGTAAGAGCATCTTGGCTGACCTCAGTGTCTTCCGAATATCAAGCTGAAAATAAGCTGAAGAGCTGAGCTTGTCACAAGCCAAAGCAACAGCTCTAGGCCTTTGACTTTTTACCCAATCCGGAAGATGCAAGTGTTTCAAACGAAACCCTGACATGGAAATCCAAACAGGCTATAGCGGCTATTGTAAACGTCTTTCTCTTTGAAGTGCATGGACAACACACCGAGAAAGGGCCAAAATATGCCAAAATTGCTTGAACACAAAATGGATGTAAGTCTGCTGATCGTGTCTTTGATTGTCCGGTATGAGGTCTTCTCCGGTGGTGAACAAACAAACCATGAATAAGGAAGCATGGATCAAATTATGTCTGTGCTTCTGGCATCTTGTCAGAATTTGAGAAATGTCACATTAGGCTCGTGGCATCGAAAATCTGCTCGAAGCATGGCTGCAGCATCAGGATACCTGGAGTACACCCGACATTCAATTGTTTTTTCGGGCGAACGGCACGCGCGCTTGTGACTAGTGCATGAATCAACTCCTTCGCCTAGGACCTAGGATACTTAAGCGACGACTTTTATGCTAAAGGTAGTGGTCGTATTTTCCTGTCTTGTTATTATGAAATTGATATTGGCTTGTCGGATCTCGTCTTCCAAGCTTTTCTACGTTTTGATATTGTTTGGATGCATACAGCAGAATGGCATAGTACCTCGTTTTATGCTTACACGTACTTCGTTCAGCGGGGCCACGACGTGTTGGAACAAAAATGCGGCCACCTCCAAGCTATTCTTTCTGTCGGTAAATACATACGTTTGCTCATAGTATCTTGGCAATTTTATGTTTCTTGTGAATCTTGTGATGACGACAAAGACTGTGGCGCACTGCACCTTCACGACAGCAGGCCTGCCAAAAGCGCAGGAAGGCCCGGAACTCGTGCAAGTGCGCAGTTCGTTTCACAGTTGGGCCTTCCCTGCCAAACGACTCGATGAGCCTGGCGGAATCAAAGCCCAAAAAGTGGTGCCTCATCAAGCTTCAAACAGATATCTAATGAGTTAAATTCCCAACAAGCGGTGGCGTTCAGTCATCAATCCATGCTTGCCTGTCCGATGCTCGCCGCACCGAGCGGTTCTTGGTCGATTTGATCAAAGACCTTTCACGATCCATGTTTCACTGTTGAAACTCTTCTGGGAAGACCAGAATACAGAATACAAGCGTTCTCCAAAACAGCTTGTCGATGCTCGGATGCCCGTCTTTTAATATCTGCCGGTCCTGTCGGTCCTGTCGGTCCAGTCCGCCACATGCAGCTGATTGCACCTTCTGTTGAGGTGTACAGGTGTCAAATTCGATTTCAAACGTGGCGGGGCCGAAGGGACCTAAGCCGATCGAAAAGCGATGTGCGACATGGGCCGATGAGGTTTTTCTCGGCCAAACTGGCAAGAGATGCTTTTCTTTGCTCTCTCATTGACCATATAATCGAATGTGATGTTCTTGCATTCTGCTCACCCGGAATGCAGCAAACACAGTTTTGCTTCCCGTGGGGTAAGCCGTGCAACAACTGCGGAATGCTTCGGTACAGAGGACAGGAGAATGGTCTCTCATCCAAGCGCAAAAAAAAGGGAGTCGTGCACTTGGATCGGCGGTGTGGCTCAAAATTATGTGGTGTTAAGTCGTTTATTCAAGCAAAAGTATCAAGTGTAGCCAGTGTAGCAACAATGGAATAATTCTGAAAGCGCTTCTGTTCAGATCAAAGGTCACGAATTCTGAGCCACAAAAACCACGAGCATATTCGCCCGAAACCGGGAACCTATTGTTGTCCAAACCGCACTCTGGCACGAGGGTTGGGCAGAAAGGTACCTGCTGTGTTGCTCAGACTGTGGCTTCTGCAATGCTGTCTGCCCCACCCATCTTTGAGTATGTCTTGAGGATCCCTTTGCAGATTCAAAGAACAGTGGCTCTACTGGACTTGCCAGCGGAGAGAGGAAAGGCTGCCTTTCTTGGTGCATCAGGACCTTGGGAATATCAAGCAGAATCTTTTGTCGGCATCGTCTTGTCATCTTTGGCCTTTTCACATCCGCATGTCAGCTGGGCCCAAGGCCATCTCCCATGGTGTGTCACGGCTCGTTTCTGAGCTCGAGCCTCCCACAAATGACTCTGACAAAGACAGAGCTAGACGTGGCTCAATGATTTGATTGAATGTTATATTGTTTCAGACTGTCGGCGCAAATTGAGTATGACCCAAAAAGTACATAGCTAGTTAGCTAGGATATTACATAACTTTTTGTCCAACATTGCAACCGGCTTCCAGGCCTGCCGCTTGTAAAGGTACTGTTTGGCTCGCACATCCTCCTCGTGCGAGTAGAATGGGGTTCCAGTTATGTCAACAGTAGACAGATTGTAGACAACGTGGCAAGTCTTGAAGCATAAAAAAATGCCCAGTCCAATGTGCAGATATGACAGCAGTCACAAGCATCCCCTTTTCGGCAGCCATCGGCCTGGCTGACAGTTGCTTGCCTACACAAAAGCAGTCTCTACAATGGTTTCAATTCAAGTCAAAGCAGGTCTCGCATGCCTTCATCCTAAAGTAAGCACATGGACGACAAAGGCCACGCTGGTGCTGAATAAGCTTGTCCTTGCAAATAAGCAGGATTGGCTTTTGCTGCAAGGTGTATACCAAGAGTGCTCCTTTAAGAGCACTTGTTAAGTGACTTACAGTAGGTGGCAAAAATACTAGTAGTAACAAGAAGCTATTAGAAACAAGTGCCTGACTAGTAGTAACAAGTGCCTTACTAGTAATAGTAGTAACAAGAAGCTATTAGAAACAGATACTTACAGGAACAATACTTGTAGGTGTCCATGTCTTTCTTTCTCGTTCGTTGCACAATTCCCGCTCGCACCTGAGCTGTGAGAGCATCAGGAACATCTGTGGAGCACCTGGGAGCGACAAAACAACAACAGACCTGAGACCTGGGAGTGCCAAAGGCTGCCAGACTCATTTAAAGTCAAGTAGCGCGATTAACAAATTTTAAGAAATGAGCAGCCAGGTTGGGTCACTCTGCCTTCTGCCAATGGAACTACACCAACTCCCTTAGCTGCCAACGAGGTTGTAGTCCCGCAATCCTCTTCATTCAAGCTGGGACTATCGGGAACCTCAGCTTCAATGAACCCTGTCGCTTGTTGGTTTGTCTGATTTTCTTGGATGCGACAAAGGCTTGGCACTCACGGAAGATGAGTTGGGGATGTTCAACCAGCTGAGGTGTCAACTGCATGCAACTCAGAAGCCTGGTCCGAGTTAGCCACGTCCGGTTTCACGATGCCGTTGGTGATCTCGTCTGTATCCTGGCTGAAAGAAAACAAAAACCGCTCCAGATCTTGGGCGTTAGAATCCAAGCTACGGGGTGCACCACTGCACCACCACAGCCCAGTTCATGCCTATAACAAACTTAAATAATTGGAAGATGTATTGAAGGTCAAACATAGTCAAGTGTTAGTCAGTCAAATCTTGGAAGTGCTTCACAAAACCAGGGTTCTTCATTCTCCCGCCCAGGAGCTTCCATGAAGAACCCTTGCTCTACAGCGTGCTCGCCTAGGGCTCTACCTCCGATCTTTACAGCCGACACCAAACAGAAAAAAACATGAAAAAACAGAACTACATTTGTCCAACAACACGTCTCTGTTTGGATTCCAGTCATAAGCCGAAGTAGCTCTCCCACACCGACGCCAGCAGCATGAAAAGCTCGCCTGCTCCTCTTGTGGTCCTGGAGTCCTTCAAGGAAAACCGTGGGACTGTTGTGAGATAGGCTTAAGCAGCAGGAGCAAGCAGGTGTAAGTGTAAGGTTCCACTTCAGTGCACGGGCGGCCTCAAAGGGTCTTCGTTTTGCGAACGTCGCACGTAAAGCCCTTCGACGTCTCCTGAGGTCTGGAGGCATGGATGCCGCTCTTCGGCTTTGGCTAGCTTCCCACAACCTGATCGATCGCAGCATGCGTTTGGGCAGTCTCACAGTCTCAGTGCATGCCTTTGGCTCAACATGCCAAACAAGTTGCTCATCATCATCCGCAAAGTGAACGAAAGTATTCCGGACCTGAATAGCGACATTCCGTCTGTGAGGGTGCAGTATTCCGGACCTTCAACAAGCACCCCGTCCTCGACAGGGCGGACAGGAATCAAGCTTGCTTTCCAGTCCACGCATAGCTTAACGTCTTCAACACCTGAGCAGTCACGTACCCACGTGTCGAAGATTCCAAAGGCACAACTCTGTAGCATTGCAAGGTTACAGGCAAAGAAATCCAGTGGTTGCAGGCAAGGTGCCCCTATCACGGTGTGTCGGTGCCAAACTTTCCTTCCAGTCAAACCTGGAGCGTTCAGACATAGATACCTGAGTTCGGGTTCAAGGAAGTGTTTCAAGACATGGTTTTCATCGCTATTAGGTTGGAGGCCATCGCTAGTAGGTTTTTATTCCATGGTGTTGATTGCATTTCAACCACATTATGCAGTTTGCTGATATAACATGTGGCCAAGTGGCAAGTCTAAAGGATCAAGTTCTGCTGCATGGAAAGCCAGCAGCGCGGGCTGTTGTAGTCTCAAATAGTCTTCAAATACAAACATATATAAGGCCCGTTCTTCTGGTGGATTGTAGTGTTTTTCGTTCATGTGACAGAACTCCTATGTCAACCCAAGACGTGAACGAAATGCCACCGTTGAGTTGCTCTTAAGAACCACGTGGCTGCGGAATGCAAGAAATTGGACGAGTGGGATTGGCTCTTCTTGGAGTGTCAGGACGCAACTTCGCCACGTCCCACGATCTTGTGGACTTGGCCTCCGCGACAGGAGCCCCAAGATCTCGTTCAAGCACATGCCCTCAGTCGGACTCTGATTGAAATGCCCAAAGGCGATGCCAAAAGTTGGAAATCCTTTAAACCTGAAAGATTCGCTGCAAAAATGGAGGAAGAATACACTGTCATCAATTAAACCTAAAGCCTGCCACATGGGAGCCACAGGTCTTTCCTGGGTCTCGTCTCGCTAAGATCGAGTCGAATGGGATCCCAGCGCGCTGCAGGAGCACAATCTTGAAGCCTAAGACCCAAGTGAGGTTGCAGAGAACAGCATAGCATAGACAAGCGCTGCTAGTAGGTTCAATAGATCTGAAGGCAAAAGAGCCATCATGTGCTACTTGAGGAGAACTCTTGAATTTGGCTGAGTCCCAATCTTGCGAAACTCATTTCGATACTGCTCCGGAACTGCCTCGACTCAAGCCAAGAATGGACCAAACTATAAGTCTAGAGGCAAGCTCGATTTCTGTTTCCGCCTCAGGTCGAACACTTAGAACTTGAGCAACCTGAGTCTGGCAAGTCACTGTAGACGTTCAAATTTTGAAAAAGGGCGCTGGCCTTCACAAACATTCCACGCAGCTCCTTCAGAAAGGTCTGATGTTGGGAAGAGACAAATCTCATCCAATCTTGCAAACAGTGTGTCACAATGTGTCAAGTGACTGCTCATGTTGAAAACATATCTGGTTTGCTGTCCTCGACTACTTCTCGCGCTTTGGCGGCATACAGTGAGTGAAGTCGCTGGAACCGGGCGTCGCGATCAGCTTCATCGGTGGAGCACCACCGCTCTAGGAAGTAATGAGCCACCTCGGATGATGTACAACAGAAACTGGCAACCCTGGGAAGCGGAAACAAGAAAGTGTATCATGATTTGCAGATCAACAAGGTCTACAATGATCCCGAAATAGAAAAGTGAATCCTTTTTCAAATAATCGTGTCTATCCATCAAAGATCTTTGTAGTGAAAACGAAGTTAGCCGAGTCCCTTGCGACTAAACGGTTTTCTGAGCTCTTGGCAATTGGCCCAGTATGGCGCCAGAAGCGGACCGATCGTTCAAAGCTGGGATCGGTCGAATACAAGAAAATGCCTTAGACACGCAAAAGGCACAAAAGTGGCATCACTGCCATTGATCGAGTGGCTAAAGATGAAGTGCTACGAACGATTGAAAAGCCAGAAGCACTGGAAATCGTCTGCTGGGACAAATAGCTTTGGAGAGACCTGTCCGGATTTGTCTTGGAGGTTGCTTTTTTTGTGTCTGGAAGTGGCTGCTGCTTCTGTTTGTTCACCAAGTGAGTGCTCTTTTCGGATCAAGTAGCCAGCTAGACATCTTTCAATTGAAGTCGGTTCAACAGGTGCAAGCCAAGCTGGCCACATTGACACAGTGTTACAACACTCTGCATGAGTGAAATGAATATTTTGGCTGACTCTGGTTGACGTACATTTTTTAAAAATGGTCAGCTTTGATAGTAGATAGTTCACATCACCCAACAGGACCATGACAGGTCTAGGCAAGCTACAGAATCTTTAGCTGAGCTTCATCCAGCGCCGCCTACACATCCTGCTCCAAGAAGAGCGCCTTGAGAAGACTAGAATTCATGAGCCCTATCAAACTCCGCTCGTGTTTGGATAGAATCAGAATAATATACATGTTTCTTTCATGAATGAGTTGATGCCAAGAAACGCCCTGCTCTGCGTGCAATGGATTTCTGAGACCATCGCAGCATTTAGTAAGTATCTACAATATATAATCTCCACTATGATACTGCGAGCTTGGGAACATGCAACACCAAATCAAGGCACATGACATGTTTCTTCTCCTTTTGCAGAATGTTACTTCGCGCGTTTGATCGATAGGCACTTCATCAATCTGCACTGACATGGCTTGCAAACTGCTTTGCTCTAAAGCTTGATACTCATAAAGCATAGGGCTGACGAAAACAAAGAGTCCCAGAAAGCAAAGACCGCAAATGTTGGAGTTCTTGTTGGTTAGGAGCTAGGAGGGGCAGTTCGGTTTAAATCCCACAACGAGAGCCAAGCATTCTTGTTTGTAAACAATCCAGCAGAACAAGGGCCTACCATCATATTGGTCAAATCTCTTGCAGTGGTGTACGGTGCGCACCCTCCTTGCTTCAGCAGCCATCATCACATAGAAGTCCTTTCGCAACGAACTAGAGTTGAATTGGGAAGCTCTGCTCTGCTTATTTGACCTACGGTAACCATGTCACGAATCTGTTGTCTCCATGTCCAAGCTTTGACCGACTTCCACCCGACGAGCGAGTTTCACTTTTGATGATTTTCACGACTTCATTTGGCTCCTCTGCAGTCACATATCCCTTTCCACCGCGGTCTGCTTCTTCGATCATGACATCTATCTCCTGCGCGCAACCCAAGCCAAACACAAGAACAGGCCACTCACTTGCAAGCGAAGAGCTTGGCCGGTGAAATGGTCAGCATCTGTTTTTTCGCCACCATCCAACTCTGTCTGCACTCCCCCCACTTCTTTGCCAATGACTCAATGACCAAAAATAGTGTCGCTCACCATGTTGCTCAGTTTTTTCTTGCAAAGTTCTGTTTAAGGAGTGTAGACAGCCTTTGTACAACGCGATCCCCCAGCGTCGAGAAGTTATTGCGACGCCAAGTGGACTGCACAATTTGCTATGTCAAATATGACTGCAAGAGAACACCTAACGGTCCAACACCTCACACTGGCATACTTGATGGTGATGGACCTCAGTTTTGTGTATTTGGGTTTTGTGTAGACAGAACACGCTGCGCTGGGGAATGAAGCCCAAAGTCCAAGTGAGTGCCCAGCATCCTTGCTCCGGCCTCAATCGCCAACGTTTTCTCGGGAAAATCGCATCACCGCACCAGAAGGAGAACCGCTTTTGGGTCCAAGCTGAGACCCCAACGCATCCCCAGGACTCGCTGAAGGTGTTGCCTGGCAAAGAACAAATCTACAAAGTTCCAGGAAGAACAATTCTACAAAGTTCCAGGAAGGAGTAACTTCAGTCGTCCTAAGGCTACTTTTAGGAACGGCTGGCTGAGGGTCGATGCAACATCTGCAGGCATGACCACTTTTTGAGGAGGCTCTTGAGGAGCTTCTAAGCCCACACCAGTCGCCTGTCAGGACCAACGAAAAGTTTTGGCTGCCAATGGAGTGCTAGATGTGATAGGTCACTCAATCAGAATCTGATCTCACAGGAATGTTGAAGAAGAAAACGTGAGTGTGTGTGTGTGTGTGTGTGTTTTCATATTCCTGTTACATCTTTTACTTTTTACCACAAAAATTATACTTCAAACAACTGGCTGGTCTCTGGCACCTGCAAAGCTGGAGATGGACGGCTGTATGATGCGCTTGGCCTCATCTCGACTCTGTTGTGAAGAGTGGCATTGCTGGTGGCGTTGCTTGGATGGCAGCATTCCAGCCCCTCCAAATGCTCCGTAGCCCGCGGGAGTCCTCAAACATGAAGTGTCAGTGAGCGGAACCAATCGATAGAACATCTTCGATCTTGCAAACCCTCTGGGCACTTGGCACTCCGCTGGGAGTCACCTCGATCAGAGGTGCATCTGCATTGGTGAGAATAAAAAAGGCCCAGTCTCAACAACTAGTAGCAAGGACGCTACTAGGGGGAGGCCATCGCTATTAGGGTGGAGGCCATTACTACTAGTAACAAAAAGCTACTATATAGTAATAAAGGGCATCGCTACTAGGAGCAAGAAGCTACTAGTAGCTCCTGGCATTACTACTAGTAACAAGAACGCTACTAGCCTCCACACCAGCGGTCCACAGCCTCAGAGGCCACCCGAACCGACTCAGACCATTTTGTCTTTACGCAGCGGTTCAAGTACATGCTCGACCAAGGTGGTCCGAATGTTAAATCCTTCTTAAAAGCATCTAAAAAGCCGCCAGTCTCGAAGTGAAGCACTGCGAAGGTATGCTTGCTGAGCCAACCAACGCTACTACAAAGACTCGGCAGCTCTTGTCCTGCATGGCAGCACTCAGTATTGTAAGAATGAAGAAGCAAGCATACCAATCACAACTCAACTAGAATTCGACAATGAGAAGGTTGGTGTGGACCGAATTCAGCATGGTAGTTCCATTCGCCAAAGGAAACAACCCCCGGCCCAGAGAGCCATACCCCAGGTTTGAGAGGCCTCGGAGGCAGAAGCGACGATCAGCTGAGGCTTTTGATCTACCTGCCAAGACTGGAGAGGTTGTCAAATATCACATTCAGCAAACAAGATTTTGGCTATCTCCTCAGAATACTCGAGGGGTCTTGAGAGAAAATGGAGCTACTAGTAGCTAGAAGTTAGTAGGTGGAGGCCATCGCTATTAGGTTGGAGGCCATTACTACTAGTAACAAGGACGCTACATAAACACATCGAATTGGCCCTCCAGTCCTCACCGATGGCAAGGTCAAGCCCCATCACCGTCTCGGAGTGACCCTCACCCACAAGAGGTATGGAGATGTTTGGGCTTTTGCCGCTGTAAAGGGCCCAAGCAGCCGAAACATGTCTTTTCCTCTGTCTTTTTATATCACAAAACACCGATGTAAAGCTCGCAGCTTAGAATGCCTGCAGAGTCCTCATGCATTCTCCCGAAAGACCGTTGAACCTTGCTCTGCACAAAATGGCACAAGTGGAGAATATGTGTCCGTTTCCTGTCTCTGCCGTTCAGCGCAAATCGGACGAAAGGCTGAAAGGCAAAATGTCTTCAGTCCCTGCAAACAAATCAGACCCACACAGTCGCACAGTCTTGTCCGTAGAGCAGGTGCAGAACCTCAAGAGTTTTGCCATCTTTAGGAAGAAAGGAAAAACTCGAATTCGAGTATATAGCTCAATCCCACACAAGATCTGTCCTGCCTTTGTCAGTGCTTGGCACAAGTCAAAGGCAGCTGACTTGAGATGGAACAGGCACCAAGTAAATGTTGCATGAGCGCTAACAGTGCCCTTAAGGTGACTTCTGACATCTTGTGAAACAAATCGTTGCTTCTTTGGCAACAAGCTTCAAGCAAGTTTAATCAAATTTAACTCTTTCACAACAACTATAGGCTTCTCTGGACACTTTGCTACTTGGAGGGTTGAACTTGAAACTTGTTCAATCTCAGTGAGCTTTCTTGTTCAGGCTGTAGTTGCCTGAACTGGACAGTCAGCAGGAATGTTCCAGTAGCCGGTCAGCAAGAAGCCCATGCACTTCCTGGCATCCTCACGTCAGGCACGAGATCAAACAGACCGGGACGAGATGCTTTGTCGCAACGCAAAGCCTTCGATCAAGGAACTGCCCCTCACATTGATTTCTTCAGGCCCGGTCATGGTGATTTACGATGCTCTCTACCAGGTTCAGTAAATCCCATGCAGACTGCAAAAGTTAGTCTCCTCTGCGAAGTCCACCATACACTTCTCGCAACCCTCTCCCTTCGACATGCAGCTGCCCTGCCAAGCCAGAAACTGCACTTTCTATGATCACTCCAATGCAAAGCAACCAGCCATTACAAAGATGTGCAGGGTGGAGGCCCCGTTGGATGTAACTTTGAGATCTTGTTAGACAGTGATGCAAAGGTTAGTTCAAGACAGGAGCTGCTGAGCGTTTTGCTTCAGACGGTAACGCTTTCGAGAATGGAATTTGCCTGAGAGTTCTGAAACTCTCCTTGTCATTTGTACCATGTGGAGCAAACAACAGCAATTTATCATAGTTTACCTAGCCTTTGCAACCGCTTGGGAAGTTTCAATGCAAGCATGTGAATCAGAGCGTCTCAACAGGCCAAAGCAGCCATGCAGTTGTTGTACCCCCAGTGACCGGCGTCCGCAAAGCCTCACAAGTCAAATTCAACTCACATTTTCACTAAGCCCATAAGATTTGTGCAAACAAGAAGGCTTACGTCAATCTGCGCTTCTGAAGAGTCTTTGACAAACAAAGAGTTATCGGATAAACCTTTGGTTTGTGCCACAAACGAAACGCAGTGGATTTGCACGTAGCTGCAAACTTTAGAGAAGATGGAGCTGCAGCTGTCATGACTTCTCAATCAGCTACTTATATTTCTGATTTGCAATGCAAACAAGCTGCACATGGCGCATTTATCGGAGAGTTCAGGCACCTCCTGCTCGCTGGCAGTGTTCCATCTCTCTTGAAATGAACGGCTAGCAGGCGCAACTTCCCGACTTGTTGCAACAGGTTCTCTCTGAGTGGTCCTCGATCATGCAATTTTTGAACTTGTGTTTCCTGAACTTGCCCATCCTCAATTGCTCATGACATACTGAGCATACTGCCTAGAGCACTCTTCTTTGGATATGCTAACATGGTCTAAGACATTCACAAAAGTACCGGCTTAGCCACGGCGTTGCTTGGACGTTTAAGTTGTTTATGCCCAGCTGTTAAACGTTCTTTTAAAGGAACCTTTTTGAGGGACCCACACCTTCTTTGTGTCCTCTCTCTCTCTCTCTCTGTGTACTGCTTCAAATACTTAAAATACTTCAAGCAGCAATGAGAGAGCTTTCCGGCCGCATTTTCTTGACTTGTCGATGACAGCATCGTTGTCGTCCTTTATCAACCTTGGGGCAGTGAGATTAAGTTTTAAGAAACGGATCAAACTCTCTCAAAATTCAGCTCAAAACTCGCACAGAACTTGATGTTCCTCTTGTTGGCACGAGTTGTAGGCCTTAAGCCGCCACTCAAAGAAAATGACCAACTCTGCAACAAATCAAGACTTCCCTTGATTGTCTCAGGGCAATTCGTATGGTGGTGGTTCGTCTGGCCGCTTGTCTGCCTCCAAGCACTCTGCAAAGAAGTGCACTTCATCGCACTTCATTGCTCAGATATGATGTTGGCTTCACGATCCCCCACAGTGTCATCGTTTTTGCACAAACCTCCCTTGGTTAGTACTGATTTAAAGCACGTTGCAGGTGGAGCAGGGAACTCGGGCAGTCCTCAATGACCCCGGCTACGATTTACCAAAAAAGGAAATGGTGTGATTGGTGTGCCTCAGAGCGGTTGGAACACTTCCAGTTTTAGTCTGCGGAAGTAGTCGGGCGGATAGAATGATGTCAGCATTTCCACATCCAGTTTCTGCAGGGGATCTGCAAGTTAACAGGTTGACAAACAGTGGCAGCCACAGTGCAAACAGCGTGCACGACGATCCTTTTATGCAAGCACAGCTCAAGGGGCCCGAGGGGGTAACAGGTAACAGAAACATGGCAGTGGATGACAAAGGCGCACGCCAAGTTGATTCACATCCTTCAGAAGGACCTTCCTTGTCGTCCTTGGTCCATGGCATTTCTTAGAAGAGCGCCGTTCCCAAGAATTTTCGTCAGTGAGAGATAGGCGGCATCATTGAAAATAGTTTGCATGTCTTGCTCCACACTTATGTTCATCTTCTCCGGTATATATCAATAAACAAACAACAATTCCATGTCAAGTCCATTCCAATTTCCAGGTGCCTTGCTTGGTGTAAATTGACTTCCATGTCCACTTCCAGTCATTCCGATTTCGGATCGAATTCTGCAAGGCAGTTGCTTTGGTTTCGGTGTGGGTCCAGTTCCAGTGACACTAGTTGCGCCTCCTTGCACATTGAACCTCTTTTTAGGGGATTCCAGCAGTCATGCAATTACACCTGCAGTTTTGGGGGTCATCAGTTGCGCCAGTTCCAGTTCCAGCGCAGGGTAAACTATTGGTTCAGTGTTTGCACGCTTTTCTAAGTATGGGGTGAGAGGGTGGAGTTGGGGAATGGGGCCGATGACGTGTGGCTGGCATAGAAAACTTCAAACGAAACGTTCTACTGTGACGAAGAGAACAATGTAAAGCCAAAGAGCCCTGTGCCAACAAACAAAAACGATAGATTATGATAGGGTGTAAATCAAGCGCCTCTATGATTTCTTCCTCCTCTTCCTCCTCCAAGTCTGGGATGGAGATGTTCGGTGGATCCTTGCCCTGGCACAGGAGGCTGTCAAAATCTAACGTGTCTTTCAATGGTTGCAAAGCTTGAGCAAAATCTTGACTCGATTCTCAAGCAAATCTCACAAAATGACAGTTGCCTTCACTCGAAACGAATCAATCTCCACAGTCAAGGGCCTGCTGAAGGGCATAGGCTCTTTGTAGTTCCGCGTGAACCCTTTTGAGCTCCTTGTTCAACGCCTGGTTTAGAAATGAGGAAAACTGGGCTGGCTCTACACACCTCTCAAATCGGTGATCTGTTTGCTCTCCAGCCTTCTCGCCCTTTTCTGCCTGTGCTGCACGAACCAGCAAATCCTTTTTCTCCTGTGACACGCAGCTTGAGACGATGCAACCATTGACATTCATATCATGGAGAAAAAAAAACAGTAATTCATTGACCCTCCATTGCCGGGGCGGTGCTCCTTCGACCAAGCTGTTTCTTTTTTCAGCCTTCTGAGCTCACTCTGTAAATCCATCACTTGATCCTGGCCAGTGGATGATTAATCACATCTCCCACTGGGAACAGGTGCACCCTTGACAATCCTACTTCAACATAGCTGGTGGAGCCTGTATTTCAGCTCTCTCGTCCGCAGTGCCTTCAACTCGCCAGATTGTGAAAGCTGCCCTTGGGAGGATGGCACCGTCATCAAAGGTCTATGATGATCTAAAGAGAATATTAAGAAAGAAAGAACTGACACTATACATCTGTCTTTGAACATCTCGTGCTGCTTCTTTTCTCCACAACTAGGCTTGAGGCAGCAAGAAGAGTGCAACCATGCACAGCTTCATCCAGAGCGGCACACCAACCTGTCCGTGGTGTTCGATAGATCATTCCGTTTAGAATCAGTTGCCATATCAAACGGTTCTCTCCGAAATCACGTGTCCCGCCTGTTTCACAACTGGTGGCGCCGGCGTCGGTTCCATCTCAAAGTTGGTGATCGTCATTGTGAGAACATGAGCCGTAGCCAGTTGGGCTTCGACGGCACAAACACTTGCGCTATGCTATGCTATGCTATGTCCCTGCAGCATTACAATGAAACATTGTCAAAGGTTGACATGGATACTGCGTGGATACTATTACCTAGATGTCTTCTCTCATGTGCAAGATTCAGCTACATTGTTGGAGACTACTTTGATTTGACTTCAATAATGGATCTGACAACTAAGCTCTGTGAGCCTGGCAACACAGCACTCAGATGGAGCATGCCCAATTTGAGCGTGGAGAAGACACATCTGGAGCACAGACTTCAAATTAATGTTACACCTCGGTTCCTGGCCAACTTCCAAAAAAAGGACCCGGGAAGCCATTTCAGCTTGACCTTGTGAAATAGAAGGACGAGGTAAGCTACAGTACAGTCTCTGGCATCCATTCTTCAGTGAGATGCCAAAGCAATGAGTCCATTAAGAGTCCATGCATCGTAAGACCCCCACAACTCCACCCTTGTCAAAGTGCTCCTGGCAGTTGTTCTGAGAACATCAAAGCATGCGGAGAAAAGAACTGCAGTGGACGTGTCTGTCCTTCGCGGTACATCTAAGTTCCATGGACTTTGCGTCCCAAATCTGCACCTAGACTTTCAGCCCAACAAAGAAGGTGCAGTGGGCGGGGGTTAAGGAAGCCAAGCTACAGAGCCATCCATGCTGCCGGTGGCCAGGAGCAAGAGACCTTCTTTGGAAGAATTGCTGAACCTCGACAGCGGAATCTTCGCTTCGCTTTTCGATCACCAGACATGCAAAGCCTGCATCCAAAAAATGCAAAAACGATACTGAACAAGAACAAAACATAATAAGCACTCCATGCACCTAGAGGGTTGCTTTCAATATCAAGGCTCCAACGCTACGGCTTCGACAGAATCAATGTGACCAGGCAACGGTGCTAACACCTGCAGTACATGGATGTGAACAACTGAGACATAGGGTAAACAACTGCCTGATTGCTATACATGATCCACTCAATTCTAGCTTCAAGAACTGGACAACTTACACTTGCTGATGTTTTTGTCCTTGCATTTGCTCCTTTGGTATTATTTGAGCTTTGGCACTAACAAATAATGATTTGGCTTGAGCCAAGTGTGACTGTTCAAGATGAAAGATATGAAAAAGACCCTAAGAGGCCTTCCCTGACTCGATCTGCACCACTTTGGCTGTAGCGTCTTCAGCTCCGGACACCACCTGAGGCCCAATCTTTACTTTCAGTACAAATATCAGGACAACAATTACAGAGCTGATTGCGAGAAAGGTAGGATGGAAGGCCAACAAGTTGTAGCTCCTTGACTCAGCAACTTAGGCACTGACAATCGGAGACTCGGGGTGTGAGCAAATAGAGATTATGGAGCTTTCGTGCACCTTTCACAGGCTGCAGTATTGCTTCTCCATCTTGACTTAGCCAGTACTCACCAGCCTCGCGAATGTGGTGCTGTGGTGTTCCGGCACGTGGATTCCACCTTGGGCATGTATGTGGTATTGAATAGCAGAATGGCAAGGAGCTAAAGACTTGGCAAGCTCCACTTGAGAAAAGCGATTGGGGGGCCAGCACGATGATGCCGCGGTCTTCAGAGCCAGTAACCACCACCTTGTAAGCAAAATAGGCCAAATGCATAATGCCAAGTACACAAAGTCTTGCAGCCAGGCCGAGCCTTTCCGCCAAGCCCCCAGCAGCCACAGGACACACCTACAAGTCGAAAACCCCATACAAAAGGCAATTATTGTACAAAGCTTGCAGGGTTGGAGAGTATTTTTCAGAGGCATAACAGGCTCCCGTGTGCACAAAGTCACTGACATCTTGACTTCTCAATGACCCTCTCCTGCAGCATGGCCAGCAAAGATCTGCATCACCTTTCCAGTCGGCGCCTTGGATTGCAAGATCGTCCCCAGGTTCACTTCACCTGAAAGTCTCTGTCTGCAAGGCTCTGGCTTTCCACTGTAATCTAGATCATCTATTTAGGTATCTCTGTCACCACGTCTGAACACTCAGGACACTTCCCACCACATCCATGCCATGGTGTCATTTGACCCTGCCAGGATGGCATGACCTGGCGCAGCGGCTGGTTCTAATTCAGCGGGGCATTCTTCATAAGACTGACAAGGTGAAGCAGCAGCTCCATTGACACCAGTGGACTCCGAGTGGAGACACATTGCGCCTGTGCTTACGCAACACACGGTCCACGTCTCAGTTGGCTGCGCCTTTTGGATGCCACAGGATCCATTCAACTTCCTGGCACAGAAAACTCAACCACCCGTCAACTAGACTTCTGGCGTACGTTCGCTTGAACCAATTCCACATACAACGTCCTGGCCTTCGAAGGACCTTCTAAGCATTGTACAAGTGATCCATCCCCACTATTCCATATCCTCGAAGATGCAGCTAGAGAGAAGCAGAAAAGAAAACTTCTCTGACAGCCGCCGCTTTAAAGGGGGCCTGACTTTGTTTTGTTCATCTCTTCGTTCTTGCTTTTAGCACAGCATTTGAGTTCACCCAGCCTCACAGTTCCGTCGTACGAGCCTGTTGCTGCGTACACCCCATCTGTGCTGAAGGCTACCTGCCAGGCACCATACTTCGTCAAACCGCTGAGAAAATGTCGAGCCAATAAGCTCTACTAGACTCTACCAATTCGCTAATAAACCTTATGTGTTGGTCGAAGGGCTCCGAACAGTCAAAAACCATCACCTTCACCCCATGCTGCTCCGGCCTCCACCACGGAGTCTGTGTGGCCTTGCCTTGGAAACCACAAGACCGTGTGAAATCCAGCACGCCAGCAAATCCGCTGCTGAAATCTTGAGGCAGCGATGAAATGCGAAAGTACAAACTATATTACCCCACCGTGTAAAGTTAGGCCAACCTAAGTCCCTGACAAACGACATCTTTCTCTACATGTCAATCCGGTGTCCTGCATCAAATTCCCTCTAGCTCTAAGAGGTTATATTGCACATAGCAAGCCGCAGTACAAGCAATGATATGTGACTGTGTCCGTTAGCTGCCCCGTACTCCTGTGATGTTCAAGTGCCTTTTTGCTAACATTGCGTGTGTGATTTGACCAAAGAGCATGGGTGCGGATGTACTTGCATATCAGGCAAGAGTTTCATAGACTTGATGTGTCCTCGATAGCGGTCTTGGGACACGTTACATACATACATACATACATACATACATACATACATACATGCATACATACATACATACTCCACACCCACAATGACGGGGACATGTCATTCAATGGAAATGGAGACAAGTACAGTTTTCTACAAGTGCAACCAAGCCCACCACTATTTGAAGTCAGTTCTGAACCCACCAGTCGGCCGGCCCATGCACAAGATTTTGTCCATATCAGAGGAGGTGCAATAGCAAGCACTCAGAGCTCTGAAGACTCCACAGCCAAATCAAGACCAATGCAGGACTATGCAACCTCCACCGATTGCATCCTCCAGAACCTCACAATGGCTGTTGGAAACCCTAGTGCCAGGCGCTACGCCAATGCGCCCTGGAGAGCCTTCACTTGGAGATGCGCCCTCCTGCAAGAAACAAGCACCCAACCGTGGGGAACTTTGCAAACAGCAGTCCAGGAGTCCCTCGACACTGCTGAGGCCGTGGACATCATGACTCTACCAGGTCTGAAAGCGTTGTGGAAAGAGCACGACCTGAACATCCAAGGAGATGCAAGTCACTTTGTAAACTCTCTATGGCTACTCTCCCAATCCAGAGCATTCCACTACAGGTATGCTGAAATCAAAGAAGGAGGCTACCTAGCAGATCATGTGCAGCAGCCCATTCTGGTGCCCTACCCGGACGGCTGGCCAGATGATGTCACCTTTCAGCAGCTCATCAACAATTGGGCCAATCAAGGTCTAGGGCAGTACCTCATGGATGACAAGAAAGAACTGATCTGCCATGTCACACGCAATACCTGCATTGATGGTATCATGACCAAGCACAGCAAGCCCTTCAACCCGTACGGCTCCTTCACTATGCCACGGTCCTTGGATGGCTTTGCCAGAGCATCAACAGAGTTTGTCCCAGCGGTGCTCATTTGCCACCAAGGACAATCCCATCAAGCAGGCCATTACTTTGCCGTCCTCATCTACCGAGATCTGATGTGGATAGAGGACGACGGCAGGTACCAACACACCTGCCACATTTGACACCCAAGTTGGCCAATCAAATTACCCAAGTCTGGGCGGTCAACGCCGACATCTTCAAGACGCCACAACAGGTGCTACAAGGGCTGCCACCGGCTGAGGAGCCCGATTTCGACCCTCCTTTGCGTCCTAGCCCTCTGAAGAAGGCCAGGTATGAGCAAGAACACAATGTGCTCTACTTTGGCAACGTGACCAACATGGGTAGACAGGTCATCGAATGGTACTGGAGCAGGAACTCAGGCGTCTACGTCTTTGCAGAAACCCATCTCGACCCACAACGGCATTTTGAGCTGTGTCAATACTTCACCATTCGAGGACGCACCATCTTCGGCGCGCCAGCCAGTCCAAACCAGGATAACTCTGGAACACATGGAGGTATTCTGGTACTGGCTGACCCTGCCTCCACCATCACGGATTTTGGCAGCTTCACCATCCAAGGCTGTGGATATCAAGCGTTCCTTTGGCAGCCACTGAAAGCACCATATTGGTCATTGGCCTGTACCTCAAGACAGGAGAGACGCTTCAGAGTGAAACCAATGCTACCATCATAGCCAAAGTGTTAGCCCTCCTCGAACAGACCACCCATCCATACGTGGTGATTGGCGACTGGCAGAACCACCCTGACAGCTTGGCCAGCACTGTCCTCCCCGCCAAAATTCCATTTTGGCATCTTGGCCCCAGACTGCAGTGTGCTGTCAGGCAATGTCATTGACTACGCCATCATGCAAAACACACTGGCAAGCACAACAGCCCTCACCACAGAATGGGCAGTTCCATGGAGGCCACACGCCTTGCTGAAACTACAATTCGACATTGAAGAGGCCACCCGGGAATACAGACAGATGCAGTACTTCCCACCCGTGCCCAAAGTCCCAGACATCGACTTCAGGTCCTGGACTACCTACCAGTCCACAGCCTATGCACTCGAACTCTATGGAATACCACCAAACCAACCAGCACAAGCATGGGCAGATTGGATTTCGAAGACAGAACAATATCTATTAAATCTATTACAAGAAAATCCATGGGCACCACAGGGCAGAGGCTCAAATCTGCAGGCGGTTCACAAGCCACTCGTGGCTCAAGCAGCAAAGCACAACTGGAAGAAAGGAAAACCAGCATTCTGGGATCAGCTCAAAGCCAGGTTTCATCTTGCAATCCAACAGCCGGCCGCCATGAAGAAAGGTCCAGTCCATGGCTTCATGCAGATGATCCGGGACGTCCATCAACACTGGGCTGGACCACCCACGTGGGCGCAGTTTCTGGATACCTGTCATCATTGGCGCCAATACCGGGACCCACATGCAGCTGAGCTCATTCAACAGACTCTTCGGCACCAGCTACAAGAGACCCAACAAATGGCACAAGAAGAAGCCACCCTCCAGTACAAACAATGGCTCCAAGAAGGCTACAACAAAGGCCTCAGACGTCTCTTCAGAGGCCTGAAGACCAGTGAACTGGCATGGGAGCGACCATACCGCCAGATACCCATGCAACATCGCATGGAGCATCGACTGCAAGACTGGGGAAGACTATGGCACATTAGACAGGACAACAACCCGCAGCCCAGAACCTCCCTCAGTCAAGAAGCCAAAGCACAAGCACAACAACTGCCACCACTCACGGCAGGAAAGCTCAATCACATCCTCAAGGCCTTACCGGACAAGGCCAGTGGACCAGATGCGGTTTCAACTCAGCTCCTGCGCAGCATCCCACCGCTGGCATTGAGCCCACTGCTCAAACTTTTCCAGACCATGGAAGAGGAAGCTGAACTGCCTACACAACTACGAAGGCACCTTGTGGTCATGCTGCCAAAGAACAGCAAGATAATCACACTAACGTCAGTGCTCTGGCGGGTGTGGTGTAGATTGAGGCAAAGAACTCTTCCTGCAGACATGGATCATGATCGAGCTCGACCAGGAGCCTGCGTACTACATGCTGCTGAGACAAGAGGTGCACAGAGCGCGCCACAAGAGTGGGGTCACAGTCCTCGTGGACACGTCGACGTTCTATGACACCACCCAGCTCAACAAGCTTCAAGATGAAGCAGTCAAGCTGGACTACCACCCTCTGCTCCTGGAACTTGCAACGCAGCTGTACACAGGCCCCAAAGCAATCCTTGCCGAGCAAGAGATGACCCCATTCTTCCATGTTGAACATGGAGTACCTGCAGGTTGTCCCCAAGCTCCACTTCTGGCCAAAGCGGTCCCCTAATTCCATGGAAACAACAACACCCTGCCATACACCTGTCCAGCTGGGTTGATGACGTGGGCTTCGACCTGGAAGGCAGCACAACGTTTCAAGCGGCACAACAAGCTGTGACCTGGGCTTAAAGGTCAACCCAAAGAAGACTGCCTTTATTGCCACTGACAAGGCCACACACCATGCCCTCAGCTCCACGCTCACCGACCAAGAGCCACCTGTCTCTACTGTCATGAGAGATCTTGGCATAGACCATCAAGCAGCCAAGAGACGCAGGATTCCTGTACTACGACAGCGGTTTCAAAAGGCCAAACAACGGAAGATCAAACTTAGATCTTTGAAGATCCCAGCACTCAAAATACGCCTCCGACTTCACAAAGGAGGTATTCAGCCAGTTGCACTATGGGGAGTTAAAGCTCAGGGACTGGTGCCCCGCTACAGAACAGCACTGAGGCAAGCAACGGCTACTCATCTTGGCCACCACAAAGGAAGACTCTTGGACAGCACCTATGATTTGCACAGCAACAAATACCAAGACCCGGCTGATCAAGTCCTTATACAGCACATCAAGGCAGTCCACCAGTGGCCACCAGAACAGATGACACACCTGGAGCAAGCCTGGAGCCAACTCCATGACCAGCTGCAGACAAAACAGCATCCATGGTACACAGTCAGTGGACCACTGGCGGCCTCATGGAATTGGCAGGTCGGACAGCTTCATCGATGGACACGACCAGCCACGCAGATCCTACAGGACAATGACCTCAGCCTTCAAGACCCTTGGTGGAAGGTTGAACGCACCCTCCTCCAGGAAGCCAGACACCACAAAACAGCTCGTCTCACTTGCTCACAGGCATTGACTGGCACCCATATCGGCAAACGCTCAAACGACTCCCTACTGAACCACGTACCCACCTCAAGACATGGGTACAAGGAGCCATCCATTACAAAGCAGCAGGAACCACGAAGCTATGCCCTCTGTGCCAAGTGCCAGCCACACCCAAGCACATCATTTGGCTGCGCAAGTGGCATCAAGGACAACAGCAAAAACCAATGCCCCCGGAATGGGCAGACCGGATACTAGCCCATGATGAAGAACCTTTATGGAACTCCGGTTGGGTACCATTGGAACCACAAGAACACCACCAATACCCACACCCCAACCAAGGGTACGGCAAATGGCAGGATCTACAGATCCTTTCCCCAAGTCAATACCAAGGATGGGCCTTCACGCTGGATGCCACACCTTCCAACTACGACACACGTAGTCAGGTGTGGGCCTTCTCCACCATCTCGACAACTCCCCAAGCACACCAACAACGAGTGATCGTACAACTCACGGCAGTCTGGGCAAAGCCCAGAGAGGACCATACCAAGACATCCTGGAGCATGTCACAGAACAGGACTACCAGAGAGTCACAGTGTTGTATGTTTGTCGCAACACAAGAACACCTGACGCACCGGGAAATGAACCACAACTTCGACGAAGACAAAGAGACGCAGCGTTGGCTGCCTGGGAACGGGCGAGCAGTCTACATGACAAGAAGCTCACAGAATG